GCCGAGGATGCAAGGGAGGGGAGGACATAAAAATAAAAGGGCAGACTGCATTTTGCTAGAAGAGTTGACAGCCAGAGGGGGATGCAGTAGTTAAGTTGCTGTGCATTTTAAATGAGTTATAAAACAGGATGAACAAAAACAAAAAAACACACACAGAAGCCTGATAGGAAATGATGAGGACCAAATGCTGTAACTGCATAATATAGGAGAGAACTGTAAGTAAGAGAACCAGCTTTAAAAAAACAAAAAAAAAACAGGTTTCCCTACCTTTTACATCTTCGTCCTCTATGGTAGTGTTGGTGCTCTCAATGGACTCCTTAAAAATGACAACATACACATTTTAGTACTTTGTATTTACAAAATGTACAGGTTTCTGATATCAGGGATTGTTGGAATAAAATCATTTCAAATAAAAAGCTCTTGCCAAAACAAATTCAGATTTATTAATAGAGATGTTTTGAGTGCAAAACTTTAATCCAGCTGGGTTTAAGTGTTGCAGTTACATGGTTAGGGTCTTAAACCGCTAGGCCACCAGGGTGGCCCAATGAATTTAATAACCGCTGAATATCTAACAGTAAAATAAGAGCTGTCACTATTTGTGGAGGGGGATACTGTTGTTATTGGCTGTACTGTGAGAGGAAATACTTTAGGGTCAGAGAGCAAACACTTCAATAATATTAAAATACAACAGTGAGAATTATGGTTTTGTTGCAATACCTTGTTTCCATCCACAGGGTTGTGGATCACAGTTGTTTGTGGTTCCTAAAGGGAACAAGAGACGGAGAACATACAGAAAGAAAGAAACTAAAGAAAAGCCAGAAACGTATGATGGCACATAAACTATCAAAGCAAATGTGTTTGTGTGTATTTTTCAGCATTTGAAGGCTGAGAAGGTGGTCTTTTATCTATCTGTACGTTTACTGAATACATCTATTTGTGTCAATGTAGCTGACATCAAATAAAGAATAAATCCTGCTTCAACTGCCTGCCAATTGTTTTTCCTCACAATTGTATCTCTCTTCTTGCAACTGAATCAGTAAATGTCTCTGTTGTGTCTGCTTTTCTCTCATCAGTTCTCACAAGTGTTTGGTAATCAGATGTCTGGGCTTTTGTGTAATCACTCCTGACAACTACCGGTAGCTCACTCCATCTCTCACCCAGATTCTACCAGATTATAGCATCAGCAGCCTGTATGTGTGTGTGTGTTTTTGTGTGCTGTGTGCATGATGATGGAGAGAGAAAGAGATGTCATGTGCCTGTGTTCATGCGTAATCATCTGGACAGCAAATGGGGGCACAGAAAGCCTTTGACATCATGCAGAGCAGCAGTCATGTGGCCTGACGTTGCTAGTCAACACACGTGCAGGCCAATGAGTGATGGCCAAACCACTCGGGTATGTAGTATCATACTGAGCCTAAGGAGGCAACGTCCTCACAACCCAGTCATGCACAGACAAACTACATGAGCAACTAACTCTATATAAAATAAAACATCCTTGGAATCTTATCAGTTTAATTTTATGTGTAACACCAAAAGCAGTGAAGTTAATTTCATGACATGGGAAGAGTTTGTGAATGGTATAGAGGACAAGGGAACAAGGAGTAAGGGTGGGGGTTGAGGTATAGGTTGTCCCCAGCTACAGATTTAGGACCACACTGTGTAAAGGCTTATTGACCCAGTCCAACACTGAAAATATACAAATTCAAGCTCAGTAAGACCTATACATGCTTTGCTAATTCAGATGAATTAAATGAACACTTCAAACAGAATTGTGAATACATTATAATTCACAGTTAGCTGTATCAAATATGTAAAGCTAGGACATGCTGCACAGTCACAACAACTTTTATACACTGTTTCATTCAGGGATAGCCTAAAGTTGAGCTAGATATTCATTTCACTCCATATGATCACCTTTTACGGTTTCTATATCCTTATATAGGCTGAGCTCAAACAGAAACAGATCTGATCCTGTGTGAAGGGATGAACCTGTACCTCCTCTACAGTGGGGTGTGTGATGGGGAGGTGAAGAGGTAGTGTGGATGAAGATGCAGGTGAGGCTGTGTGTATACCAGTGTTGGGGCAGGGCCAGTGTCTTTAGGACTGGTCGCTGTGTTGGCTTTGTTGTTGACCTGCAGGGCAATGTAGAGGGGACATGACACACGTACACATTTTTCAAACCCACACATTCACACACTCACTTACACACACTCTCCAGCCAAAGTCCATTCCAAAGAGATCATCCCTACTCATGGCCCAAAGATCTGATGTTACTGAGTGTTATAGCTAAGCCCTCTTTATGATATTTGTGTATTTTTTAAAACACACTTAGGCAATAAAACATACTGTAGGTATTACTGAGGAAAGCTACACTGTAGACAGAAGTGAAGGCACAAAGTCAATTAAACTGAAACATCCTGAAGGTAGGGGAAAATAGTAAAAATGAGTTGGGGATAAACTACATTTCTCAATAGGTAATGAATTTTAATTGAATTCTAATAAACTGCTGTTAGTAATGACTTTGTGGGGGCAGTCAAAAGACAGCAGCGACCATCATCCCAGTCAAAGAAACTAGTAACAAGAGAGAAAATACTGATTCGACTGTTGACCAAGAATGTTCTCATTTCTCCATATGAATGTAGATATGTACTATATCTGAGGATGTAAGCATGACTGTAGTTTTCACAAAATTAATATACAATTAACACAAGAAATTGTGTGTAATCAGATGTGGAATTTGTAATAAAGGGTAATTTATTTGATCTGGATTCAGCAATTCAGTAGGAAAGGTTTCACTGGTATTTAGTACATTTAGTTTGTTTTTCATATTTATAGAACTTACTATATAATCAGAATTTCATACTACAAACAAGTCCCTTTATTTTTTACCCTAACTTCTATGCGGACTAGATTTTCTTTTCTTTTCTCATCAGGCCCCATGGATAAGGAAAAAGGTCCCTGGAATGGAGTTTGCAGCATGATAGACTGTAGGGCTGTGAAAGGCCCAGACACAGTGACGTCAATTCATATCATGTATGCTGAGGTCACATCTCAAACAAACAATTAAATGCAGACAGGCACACAGTAATAAGTCACTCACACGAAAACTCTCAACAATGTGTAGGAGGAAAGTGTCACATATGTGAACACATGGACATCTTGAATCAACTGTTAATTTCAGATTGGACCCCAAACACACAGAGGAATTATGACACCAGGGTTATGCTAAGAAAGTTACAACCATGCCCCTTGATTTCAGTGACTGTCCCTGAATGATGCTAAGTGCAAAATGCACAACAGTAATAATCCATAAGGCTCTTTAGACACTCAACATTCCAAAAGACTAATGCAAGTAACACTGTGCAGAGCAACTCACCTTAACGCCATCTGGCTTCTTGTTGAGCAAACTCTTAGCTGCTGTAGAAGGAAAGAAAGAAGCGCCACTTCAGCGTACGAGTTTACAGAGTCCTGAGGCTACACTAACATGCAGCAAACATATCAGTCAAGTTTGTTTATCTTCCAACTCCAGGTGCAAAGTCCAAGTGCAAAATCCACAATGCAATGCAACAGATAGTCAAAACGGCATCATTATTTATGCAAGGTTGCTCTGCTACTACATACTGATTCACACGTGGCAGTGGGTGTTTGATAGAGGGTGTATTTAGCAGATGATGGAAAAGATATTCCATCCATATTCAGCAGATTCACACAACATTATTAAATTGGCATTTGCACAATTACACATGCACTTAACCACTAACACCCACACATACCATCCCACCACTCCTCTATCACTTTATTCCTGATGGTACAAAGTATCCAAACACTAAACTGCATTTTAAAATGCATGCTCTATCCTTCTCTATCCTTCATTAAGAGCATATATTGAGTACTTTTGCAAGGGCGAGGTTTAATATCACTTTTTGAATACCAACCAGGTCATTTTCATGCACATGTGATTGGTTATTAGAGTAAAAATGCCATAGACATCACAACTTAATGGTTGGGTCCAACCCTACATATTTCCCTGCCATTCAAAAAATCTTACCTCCAATGGATACCACAATCCAAACAAAAGAAGGATAGAAATTTGAAAAAGGAAGAAGATGATGAATAAAAAGGGACACAAATGCACTAATGCATTCTACTGTAGAATGAAGAGAGAAAGCAGGCTAGTAAGAGCCTCAGAAATTAGAAATAGGTCAAAGGAAATACATGCAAAAAGTATGACAGAGTGCAAAATATAGATAGAATGGTACAGCAAAAGCTAGAGAGATAAAGAGATGTGACTCTGTTTGTCAGTGGCATCTTTGTGCCAAGATCAGCTTTGTTCTATAGAGAAACTGATCAAAGCCATTCCAAAATAGGTCAGCAAGGCTTTTTTTTAAGTTAAAGACTGACTACACATTTTCCCCCACTTTGTGGTGCCTCTGATCTGTTTCCTCATGATTAGAAGATACATTCTAAAGCACCTAACTAAGGACAAAACATTTAACTGTTTCACAATAAACTATGGTAAAATTTATGACAATTGATTACTGCGCTTTGAAAAACTCCCCCACTGAACGGTTAAAGCTACAGTTTGTAAATTTTTTCAAATAGTTTTTTGTCATAGAAATATGCTCCAAACGTTGTCTTAATGTGGAGAGGGGCTGTAGAATCCTCATGTGGCCCAAACTCACTGAACAGCACTGGCAGCAGTGCACAGATATATACTGTGGTAGTAGTGAGTTCTAAAACCCGGAACTGAGTCAGCATTTTTTTTATGTTTTGTTCAATGAAATAAAAAGCACCAGTAAATACCCCACTCCTGATTTTTAATGCCTTTAGCTGCCTTAAAAAAGGAAGTTGTCAATAAGTAGCTATATGAGATTATAGAGGCTGTCTGGGATTTTACACGTCATCTACTCACTAGTCCACCTTTACAGCCTTGTTGTGTTTATACTCATGCACTTGCAAAATCTTCTAACTGACACAGCCATGATCACTGGCTAATAGCAAAGGATTGTGTATAAGTGGAAAGCACTATAAATCAAATTACAAGTTGGAAACTGTGGTGGTGACGCTGAAGTCATGGGACCGTGGCATAGTTCGTTTATAGCCTTTTACTTCTGATGATTGTATTTGGGATTCAAAAATCATAAAAGTGGTATTCATGTGTGAAGATTATCTTGCTGAACAAAATGTGTAAGTGCCATAAACCACTGTTTGTCATGGAGCTTATTTTCCGCAATAATATAAAGGCCAATGGAAAAATCTCATTGGCTTTTTGTCAGGGGATCCAGGGTGATGCTAACATCTGGGTTGGCCTACAAAAACGTCATCCCTATAGCACTCTGTTAGCTTCTAAAAGGTTTTGACTGGGATTGACCCCCAACCAATCAGAGATTTTCAATTATTTTTGCTTCATCAATAAGTTTTGTTGCGTTCTCATTTATTGTAATTTCATAATGACAAATATCTAAGAGCTGGGCAGAGCGTCGAGAAGTGTAGCAGATTATAGCAGAGCAGGGAGAGGGAGTTCTGGGGAACATAGTGGATTGATTTGGAGTTTCATGCTAGCGCTACCTTAAGTAACGCACTGTAGCTTTAACTAATGTCCCACCAAAGTTAGCAACAGTCAAACGCAGGTGCGCAGGTATTTGTTTTGAGTCAAAGCATGGTGGAAGGAGGCAATGACAGCACTCCAGAGATTTTTCAGCCTTGTAAGAGGACTGAGACTGAATTGTAGTTGTATTTTGGCTTTTATTAGGAGAGCTGACTCGAACAACATATTTTGTTAATTTAAAATCCAACAGATGTCGACTTGGTTGCAAGACCGTTTAAACAGGAGAAACGCTATCCTCCTCTGTATTCATGTCAGTTGTTGGCTGAGTGTATTACTTCTCAAGACTCAGACTCAGTCTCAGTCTGGGGAAAACCAAGGCTTGGACACTAGGCTGAAAGAGACATACCTGAGAAGTTTCTTGTGACCAGCAAAGTGGTCAATATGGCTCCCTGCAGTGATAGAAAAAAAGGAAAGAAGGAGGTAATGATGATGGAAGGAAGAGAGAAATAAGAAGATTGATTACAAAGTTACAGCAAAAAAGTGGAATACAGCAAAAGGGCAACTTTAAGGATTTAGAGAACAGCTCATCATTTCTAAGTTACCCTGAGAAGTCCTGAATGAAGAAAACAGATCAGGAGGGGAGAGAAAGATGGCTGGATGAATTGTTCTGCATAAACAGAAACACGGAGGACTGTCAGACGTCTCACCTTGAGTTTCCTCCTGGCGTTAAATTTTTTCAGGCACTCCACAGTTTCCTGCCTGTGCATCATGGAAGCTACAGTGGACCGTTGCTGCAGAAAGAAGATGAGATGATTTAAGGATTTGGAAACAATGGGAGTTGCGAATGTCTAGATATACATGCATAGGCAGTCTGGTTGAGGAGGCTTACATGTGTTCATGGAAATTAGACAATGCAGTATGTTACAGTACCTAAAGTAGTTCATCATTATCAGTCTTTATTATTGGTCTTTATTTCTGTGTCTGATTAAGTATTTGTTGTTAGACATGTGTTTCTACATCTGTGTGTGTGTGTGTGCCACATACACAGATCCAGGGGTGTTTTAGGGCCTCTGCAGCAGTGATGCGTTTACTGGGGTTGATGGTTAGCATTTTGTTGATCAGATCTTTGGCCTCAGGTGTTACAGTGTCCCACTCTGGGGATGGGAACTGTCAAAGACAGCGTCACATGCTCATTATGCAAACAAAGCTAATACAGACAATATATAGAATAATGTGGCTGTAATATTCTTCTTGTAGCAAGTCAAAGAGAGAGGAGAAACAATTAAAAAAACATGAATGGACAGAAAATGAGTGAAAAAACAGGAAGGAAATAGAGAAGAGATAAGGCAAATATGTGTAAAAAAGGATATACTGTACAGTATGTCAAAAATTGTAAATTATCAAACACTGGAATTATTAAATATTTGATATGGAATAAACAGTCCAAATTCAAAATGTTGCATTTGGGGGGGTGGCATTGTAGAAAACTATGCAGCTGTTGCTCTATAAAGCCATGCTCATGACATCAAATCAAATCAAATGTGAGAATAATGTGTGAAGACATTTTGGATCTGGCACTGTGCTACACATGAAAAAACTGAATAAGAATTTAGGCAGTTTGTTGCCATCCAACTGGACTGCAGTAGCATTGCCATGGAAATAAATCTTAAATGAATGAAAGCACAGAAAACAAATTTCTACAACATATATGAGGACTAGGCTTTATTGGCTGCAGTCAAATTAATTGAAACAAATCATATGTTAGTCCTCATTCATTCAACTAGAATTTTTATTTATATTAATAGCTCTAACATGTATGTGCATGCACACTTACATCATAGGCCCCGGCCTTAATTTGTTGGTAGAGGCGGTGCTGATCCTCGTCCCAGAAAGGCGGGTAGCCCACCAGCAGGATGTACAAAATCACACCTGCAAGAATGTGATATGTGAAGTTACAGTAGGCATGTGAGAAGCTACACAACATATTGCTGTGTGTTATACTGATGTAACCTAAATTATTAACCAACAATACAAATCACCCACTGACCACTGCACAATATACTTGAAACAACATGAAGCTGCAATTTAGGTGTAAAACCTTCTTGCTCATTCACCTGACCAGGTCAGACAAAGCCATAGGTTGAGAGTTTTAGCTCCAGCACCAAGTTCATTTGAATAGTGCTAATGTGAAAGTTTGAATGTTATTTACCACAGGCCCACATATCCACTGGTTTCCCATATGGGTCTTTCCTCAGAACTTCTGGAGACAAGTAGCCTGGGGTGCCGGCAAAACCTGGAGGAGTGACATGGTTGGAGGGAGAAGATGTGTAATGGTAGGCCGGAGTGATCAATTCAGTGACTAGGCTTATTGACTGACTAAATGAGTGATTGACTGATCAACTGATTCAGGTTGAAAAATGGATCACTGACTACTCACCGAACCATGCCTGCTGGTCCCCTTGTACCTCGATAGCCAGCCCAAAGTCAGCCAACTTGACTGCCGCCCCCTTCAGCTTACTGGCCAATAGAAGGTTCTCAGGCTGGGGGGGGCGGAGTCAAACAGGTAAGAGGTGAGAGGTCACACGCTCTGGGAACAAGATGCCCACTGACACAGATCTAAAATCAGATTAGCCAAACCAAATCCTAATCCAAACCATTAGGGGTCAATGATGCTAAACTGCTCTTAAATCAGTGTCTGTGACAACCCCCTTTCTGCCACGCAAATGACAGAGAAACAGGAATGTGCACAGGACCAAGTCTCTACATGACCATGAACATTTTCCATGCTGGAGCTGTGGATCTGCTCCCTCGTTCTCATGGATCTGAGAGAGTGAACTGGTAGCAGACATGATGTGCTCATGCGCAATAATGCCAATCCATTGTTAAAATCCATGAGTGGGGACAAAGTGCACACTGACTGCAGGGAGAAGCATAGACAGGGGCGGTGTGTTGTATCAGTGGATGTGGGTGTAAAACAAGTAACTCAGCCACATACTGGTAATGACAAGCACACAATAACACCGTTTAGCACAATCAGAAATATGTGCAAGCCCCCAGCAAGTACACAAACACACACATGAAAACAGGCATAGAAAGGTCTTTGCTAACCTAAGGTTAATTAGGCAATGCGCTCTAATGAATAATACATTTTAGGGCCTTTACAAGGACAACAGTAGAATCTGACAACAACAACAAAACAAATCTGCTAAAATGTTTCTTCTCACAAGAGATAATGAAAATTTTAGCTTTATTTCATCACACAAATTGTAGAAGGAGCAAAATATAAAAATGCGAAGGTAAGGAGTATGTGGGGGGCACTGGGAGTTTGTGAATGTTTCCATCTACTGTACAGAGTCAGAACTGAACACGGCTGCAGCCGTGGCTGTCGTCATACAAACCTTCAGATCCCTGTGGACAATCCCGTTAACATGGCAGTGATGGACACTCTCCAGGATCTGCTGGATGCAGTGGCTGAGGACAGGAGAGTAATGAACAAGAGCGGAATTGTGATTGAATATATGGAAGGAGAAACCGAAATCAAGGAAAAAATGCAGAGAAAACAAGAAGATGGGAGATTAATTGTGAGGAAGAGAGGAGGAAACTCTCATAACAATGTATTATATATCCCTCTCATTAGCCAACATATGTGTGATGCTGTTTTCTGACAGATGGCATTAACTTACATGGCAGCAAGTCATTTTTCACAGGCCGAATTATTAGGATGTATTACACTGTATAGTGAAAACCAAAGCTAAACAAGGTGTGTGACAACAAAACACAAATACACACACACAATCTATTCCTTTCTGTCTCCTTCTCTGGGGAAGAAATATGTCAACATAAAGTTAGCAGTGTAATGTAGGCTGTGTATGATTAATACCGCAGGCTACATGTCGTTAATCACCATGAGATGCCTGAGAGACAAAGGCCGCTGTATCACAGCTCTAAGAACAAACACACAAATATACAGAATACGCACATACATAGGCACATGCAGACGTTCTCTCCAGTAACAGTCAGAGATGCATAACAGTTGCTGTGGTCAGTGGTGTGTGTGGGGGTATGTGTTACCTGGCATCAGCTTCACTGTAGTACTCCCTGGCTACGATGTCCTCGAACAGCTCTCCTCCCGTCACCCTGTGGGGAGACACAGTCTTTGTTGGAGACTGAAACCATTCATTGTTCTTTAACTGTATTCACTTATAATCGGAAGGTTGAGGGTTTGAATCTCGGTGCCTGCAGTCCCTATGTCAAAGTGTCCTTGGGCAAGACACTGAACCCCCCCAAGTTGCCCGTGATGGCGGCAAGTATGCACGCAGTGGCCTGGGGCCCTCGGCTCCAAACAAAATTTCATTGTACGTGTCACGATATTACAATGACAATAAAATAAAGCTTCTTATTATTATTTTTGGCAGCTATATTATAGCTTATGGTGCTATGATGACGTCCTGTTTTTACAGTTGCTTTTGATTAGATGGCACTACAGCTTCCTACCAACCAATTTAATCATTATTAAAGTTAATAGCTAAAACAAGTTATGTATTAGCTTCCTCAGGAATGTCTTGAATCTGGTTACATTAGCTAGTAGTTACTGAATCTAAGAAGGGAACTTATACACAAACCCACTGATGAATTTACAAGAAGCTGGAGAAACCTAGTTAAGCTTTTTAAGGATACACACAAATATACAGTACTAGTTAGGAAACATTTAACAGTGGTTGGGTGGCTACATTTGACAGAAAAGGTGTGTGAGTATGTGTATGCGTGTGAGTCTGTTACTCACAGATCAAACACCAAATAGTGGAAACCCTCTTCTGATATGCTGTCATGGAGTCGTACTGTAAAGGAGATTTGCCAAAAAAGAAAAACACACAAACAAAGGACAGAAAAGACAGAAGAAGAGCTAAATAAAAGAGAAATCAGTCAATACGCAATACTAAAGCTAAGGAAGAACATACAGTAAATATGTCAACCATTCAATGAAAGACTTATGTAAAAGGAGTGAAAAGTGTGTTCGTAAGGACAAGTTAGACATGATGTTTTAAACAAATTCTCCCCACTCTAGGTGAGATATGACCACTATAGCCGCTGAATGTTTCTTTTCACAGAAACCAGTGTACAGTATTTCTCATTTTCACTCATTCTAACAAGGATTCAAACAAAATCTTTCATCTTTCAAAAAGGATGAATGAAATTTAAAAGTTTCATCTCCAGGTCAACACACATCAGGTCAACCTCATCATCAGTGAGCCTTGAGCATCCATGACCCTGTTGCCAGTTCACTGTTTGTCCTTCCTTAGACACTGTTGGTAGGTACTGACCACTGCAGACCAGGAACACCCAACAAGACCTGCAGTCTGGGACACGCTCTGACCCAGTTGTCAGCCATCACAGTTCGGCCCTTGTCAGAGTCAGTCAGAACACAGAACAATTGTCTTTTGTAGACGTTTCTTTGCAATATACCTCCATTATTATATAGTTGTCTTTTTTTCTATTTTCATCCATAGTTGCTCTCAACCTTTATAAGAGTAGAGTTTTCTTGGAAAACTGTCTGGAATCGCAGCTGTGCTGTAGAACCGCTTTGAGAAATCTGAAATAATGACAGTGGCAAAAAGAAAGAACATGAGCTAGATGGGTGTGAAGAGAACAAGGGGTATAACGGGGAGAAAAGAGCTGAAAGGGTCAGTGGTTTAGAGAGAGGCTGCAGTGCTCCTGTGTCTTTCTGATGACTCAGCTGGGAAAGCACACAGATACATCATCATTAGATACCTATACACACACACACACACACACTTCTCTTCTTTCCCTCTTTCTCTCAACTGTGTCTAGAAGATGAATAACCACAGCAGGACTCACCAGAGACCTGTAAAAAATATGCATGTTTTCATTTGTATATATGTATGTGTGTGTGAGTGTGTGTGGCCTTGTTTACAGTATATTAACTTGTGGAGGTGGAACACTGGGAGTGCACTGCTTTGTGGAAGTCACTTGTGGGGACTGGAAGCTGGGCCCATGACTAATTTGTTGAATTTTATTAAAGCACGTGTCCCTTTTGGTTAAGGTCAGGGTAAGTCTCCTGGAAATGAATGTAAGTCTATGTATGGACCCTGTAAGTGATGACCGTGTGTGTATATTTTGAGATTGAGGACTCGCAGCTCACCAATATTGGGGTGCTTCAGTAAACGGCAGATCCTTGCCTCTCTCTCCAGCTTTTGATGATCTAAAAGAAAAACAGAAGAGTCACAAACACAAAGAGAAACAGAAACAGGTTATTTATGACAATCTTCATCATTCCTCGCTGTGACTGGCTTTCTGAATCATCTAACATGAAGCTGACTGCAGGTTAGTTCTGACTTAATGGAGGACACAGCGCGACACTTGGGTGTTGTTGTCAGCATCATTGTGTGTTTCTGTACTTGACATTCACACTACTGCATGTGCGTTTGCCTGTATGTTGTGTCTGTGTCTGTCTGTGCGTGTGTGCGTGTGTGTTGGCTTCATGTCAGCTCGGCTCTTTACCTTATCAGAACTGAAATGCTTGACAAAAATAATGTGACCTGATGTGTGCTTGGTTGTGTGCCACAGGCAGTCAACGGTGATCAACAAACACGGTGAGCCTCACATACTGGCCTCTGATGTCAGGCTTAATATGAGCTCTTGCAGTGTTCTGCAGGCTCCCTTTGTACAAAAATCATTATCCATTCATTAGAATACATAGAAACAAGATTTCACATATTCAAAAGCTTAAACTAAATCAAATGTAATGTGATCAAAATGTTTTTCTTCCTGTTAACATTTCTTTGTTTACTTATATGAAAATAGCTTTTGAATTTTGACAAACCATATGATGTCACATAAAATTAATAGATTCTTTTGTTACTGCCCACCTCCATGTGAGACAACAGACATTTTAAAATCATCAGCAACATTTTTATATAATTCATACCAAGGTAGTTGTATTACACCCCTGTGGGCATTATTGTCAGTGAGCAGCTTTAAGGCAATATTGAAACTGGATTTCTGTATGATTGTGATTAAGTACCTCGCAAATTTAATGTAATTCACTGAATTAGCCAAAAGCAGACTATCATCTAGTTGCCGACTCTATAAACAGTTTTTAATTGAATTTCCAGACAATTCACTATGGCACAATAAACTGGATTGCTATTTTGTATCCTGTGATAGAAGATTTCATGCATATTGCCAGTCTTATAGTAGTCCATGCACTACTATACTGCTTTAAACTTAAACTGAAAATATTAATTATTTTGTCTATTACTAGGAGGGATCGGAAGTGAGCATTGTAGAGTTAAATCTATTTGACCTAAATACTGTGCATCCTGCTTTGGTTACTCTATATATATCAAATGCCGTCACCAGATTTCACAAACTGAACACAACACTGTCTTCAGGGAGAGACAGACAGAACAATAGATAGCGAGGTTACTGTACAGGCTTGATACATGGCAGGCTCACATCTCTCCTTTATGAGACCAGACTGATTTTATCAGACTTTGTTAACGAGATGCGACACTTAAATCTCTCTGTCAGATGAATCCAAAGTCCAGCGACTTTGATTAAACTGAGTCAGAGCAGCGGTCATTATAATGAGTGAGGCAGTGTGGTGTTGAGGCACCCATTTCAGCTTTGCCTTGGGACACAGAGAGACAGAGACGAAGAGAGAGAGAATGTGAGGGAGAGAAAGAAGAGCAGCAGGCTATACTTTTTTCAAAATAAAATAGGACGCCTATTTTTCACTCTCATCTGTATCTCCTTCCTCTGCTCTTCTTGATACTATGGAAACTGCAGACTCAGTGCAGCTCAGAGGTAAAACCAACAAAGAACACCAAGCAGCTTTTTCCCATTATAGGTGCAGGTCTTGCTTTATTTGTGTCGGTGTAGCACATCTATAGAAAGCGACAGGCAGACACACAGACAAAGTGAAACCTGCTGTATATTTTAACCAGAATGAAACTTGGAGTGCTCTCAAATGCTCGGTAAAAATGCCAGTACAGTGAGTTCACTATGACTGAAGGACTGTTCGTGCACACCAGAGGATGGAGTTCATTTGCCACAGTGACAAAGATGAAGCCAGAATAAAATTCCTACAGTGAAATGAAAAACAAATACAGCATGAGCTGTGGCCACACTATGGTTAAAGCTAAAAACACAGAAGGAAGACGATGAAGTAGAATTTGCACGAGTTCCATACACCTAAAAACAGGAAAAGAGATGGCACTTCCTAAAAAAGGGTGCAACACTTTGATGATCTACTATCCAAGAATGAAACACTTTATTCCATCAATTTAAACAGCCACAAAACTATTCACTTACTAAACATTATTTCCTTCCTTACAACAGTAAAATGCAAGTCAGTGTAATGTTCTGCATTAATTATTTGACATATGTGTGTAAAATTGATTTAAGCTTTGAAGTCCTATAAGTTCTCATTCAGATACAGAAGTGACTCAGGCCCAGACATACTGCATAATGACACAATGCTAAACCATCTGCATAAGTTGGTGGGCTGACAAAGGTAAGCTATACGCATACACCCCAAGGCCACATGTATATGGCATAATTGATCACACAACAAAAGTGCAGTGGTGGTGAAGAATGCTGCAAATGGACCCAAATGCAGCTCTTTTGTGTGTCACAAGTCCGACAATGCCTGTGAGAACACATCAGTTTTGATTGTGATTGATGTATAGTGCCGGCTTTAGGGAGAGGCAGACAAGCAGAGCCAGAAACAAGGCCATTACTTCATGATTAGCAGGACCCTCTGAGCAAGGTCACTAATCTCTCCATCTCTGCCTCAGTCTTACTATGTTACCGAATGACACAATCTCTTTGCTTCTTTCTCAGACTAAGACGAGCTCTGCCCTTCCATTGCTAAATCAATAGACTCACTTTTGTTAAACCTCAGGCTTTACTTTACTCTCACAGCACCAAGTTGCATGGTGAGGTGATGGTGGGCAGTACAAATGTCTCTACTATAATTTACATTTCACTTTAATAACATGGCCCCACCATCAGTTTTCAGAACAATCTTTGGCTCACTAATGGAAAGATGAAAAAGGAAAACCATTTGAAATGATATACATACAAAACATTCAGAGAAACTGTATAAGTCATCATCTTTATTAAGATACAAAAGCTAGCCACAATCTTTATTTAGTGTATGTAAACAATCAGAAACATTTAAAACATCTTCACAGGCTTAAATCATAACTCCACTTCTAATTCATAACAACAGCATTCTACAGCTGAGGAGCTACTGGAAATCACCCAGTGCTCTTATACTAAATATTAAAGCACCCTGAATTTCTTCTACATGCAGTAAACATATCTCGCATCCCACATAAATGCATTCACAGATGACCGCGAAAAGACATTTACATTTTGTATTCTGATTTCATTGTATTTGCATTAAATGTGTGGAAAAACACAACATGACTAACAGCTTTCCTATTCATATATAATTTTATTAACCCGGTGTTTTGCAGCCAGACCTTAACTTTAGAGTGTTGGAATTCCTCATCACAGAAGTCTGGCAGGAAACACCGAACCCCAGTTTTCAGTTTACAAATGCAGTCGTTTGGACAATCCCATATCACATGCTGTTATATGAAGGTCATAATACACCATTACACCAGTTTCTGCTGCAAGTTAAGTTTTGTCACTCATCATCAGCCACAGCCAGTTTTTAAAAGACATTAAATTATGGCAATTTTCACCCATCCATCCATCATCACTAACACTCATCTTGTAGCCGTATAGGGGGCTGGAGCCAACCCAGCCGACAGTGAGCGAGTGGTGGGGTACACCCTAGACAAGTCAACAGTCTATCATAGGGCTGACACATAGAGAGACAACCACCTACACTCACATTCCCAACCTAATTTGCACATCTTTGGACTGTGGAAAGAAGCCACAGTATCCCAAGCAAACTCCACACAGAGAGGCCCTGCTTGGGATTTGAACCTTCTGTTTTCCTGAGTTTCCTCTGGAGAGTGGCTGGGCGCACCCTTAGGGATAGGCTGTGGAGCTCAGTCACCCGTGAGGAGCTCGGAGTAGAGCCGTCGCTCCTCCACGTTGAGCGGAACCAATTGAGGTGGCTCGGGCACCTGTTTAGGATGCCCCCTGGATGCCTCCCTGGGAAGGTATTCTGGGCATGTCCCTCCGGGAGAAGGCCTCGGGGCAGACCCAGGACACGTTGGAGAGACTATGTCTCCCGGCTGGCCTGGGAACACATTGGGGTTCCTCCTGAGGAGCTAGAGGAGGTGTGTGGGGAGAGGGAAGTCTGGGGGGCTCTGCTCAGACTACTGCCCCAGTCCCAGATAAAGCGGACAAAGATGGATGGATGTTTGTGAGGTGGCAGTGCTAATCACTTCCCCACTATGCCTCCCTACATGTGTACATTTTAATTTATTAAATGCAAATCATAAGGCTATATTTTAATCGCCTGCATGCTTTTTGATAAATAATCAAAAATTCAACATGTTGCATCATGCTGCTTAATTTATTTTAATGTAATTTTAAGTCAGTATTTCTGCTGCTATGCCTGGATGAAGGGATGAAGACATAATAATCTAAATACCTCTTGAGAAAATAGTTTATGTTTAAAGGAATAAATCACCATCATTGCTATATAATATTCCACACAAAGATACAGTAGGCCATGCTAGTTTTTATGGTTGACTGTACTTTAACTGTACATGCCTGTCACAAGATTTGCTCACATCATCTCTCCATCATTTCCCACCTTCACTTTTCTTTCACTTTCCCTCTACTCTCTCTCCCTCCTCCACAGGTAGTCCACCTCCCAGCTGGCTGGACATCTGTTGTCTAGCAACTCCTGCACCAATCAGAGCGCCAGGCCTCTTCTCTCCTCTGCAGTGGAACCAGCCTTGCATGCAAATGGCCGACTTCGAGAGTTCACACACAACTATCAAAGTCTATAGAACTACAGAGAGGAAAGCAACTAATTCTATGGGAGCATACACACATTACAAAATGTGGCTGACAAAAATGCTTTACAATACTTAGGTGTACATGCACGAGGTGGCATTTTGCTTATAAGGTTAAAACTGACAGCAGCATTTCTACAAAATATGTGCAGACAGATGCGAGGCTTAACCCAGTCAGCTGTTATCATTCAGGACAACAGGATCTAAATTGGCCTGATCTAAATTTTCTGTCTGAATGGCTGTCTGTGTG